CCAGCCCACCGACTCCCGCGACGTGCTCTGTTTGCGCACCGTAGGTTTGGCTGGAGGAAGTGCTGTAGTCAAACGAATACTTAGTCATGAGGAATGAAAGCCCTTACTTCGATGTTGGCCTCGGTTGGAGCCTCTCTCTGGTTGGGGATCGGAGGACGATGAACACCTTTGGCTGGATACACTTGTTGACATGGCTAGAAGTCGAACTCAATGGATATCGCCACCTGATAAGTCCAAACCAGGACGAAACCGCGGTCGTGGTGTGCCAGTGTTGGGAGGATCAACACTCAAATATTTCCATTTCACTTACACCTGAAGCGTTATAAAGCTCCCGGCCCTGATGGTCTTCACCCAGCTCTAGTTAAAGATGGTGGTGCATCGCTGGTCCGAGAACTCACCGTTCTGTTCTCGAAAATTTGGTCGAAAGAGAAGGTTCCATCATCTTGGGGTGAATCGATAGTCGTACCCATCTTCAAAAAGGGCCTGCGCACAATCTGCTCCAACTACAGAGGAATAAGTTTAGTCCCCGTCGTTTGCAAGCTGCTGGTGTCCATCATACTTCGCAGGCTATCCCCAACTCGCGAATCGTTGCAACGAGAAGAACAAGCTGGGTTTCGCCCTGGTCGCGGCTGCATCGATCAAATCTTCACACTTCGCCAGATCCTCGAGCTCCGCCATGTGTATCAGAGGCCAACGATTGCTGTGTTCCTGGATATCCGTGCTGCCTTCGATTCTGTCGATCGTACAGTACTGTGGCAGTGCCTTCTGAGGAACGGTGTCCCCGAGAAGTTCGTCTCCATACTGCGCGCTCTATACAGTCTGACCTCGGGCAGGGTTAGGGCTTATGGCATGCTTTCGCCTACCTTTGTGGTCTCCAGTGGACTTCGACAAGGATGCCTTATCTCTCCGTTCCTATTCAACTTTGCCATTGAGGATGTCCTGAAGAACGCTCTGAGCGATTCGTTGAACGCTGGCGTTGAGCTCCTCCCAGGTAGTCGAGTTGTTGATTTGGATTATGCTGATGATATCGTCTTGCTGGGTGACGACCCACAGGTCGTCCAACTTGCATTAAACCGCTTGACGATTGAAGCATCAAAGTACGGTATGTGCTTTTCGCCATCCAAGTGCAAGGCTCTCCTTCAAGACTGGCAGGTACCTCTGCCTGCACTCACGCTTGCTGGTGAGACACTGGAGGTTGTGGAGAGCTTTGTCTACTTGGGAAGTTGCATCACTGCTGGCGGGGCTGTTGGAGACGAGATTTCGATGCGCATCTCGAAAGCACGCCTCGCTTTTTCTAGGCTGAGGCATTTGTGGCGTCGCCACGACATTCGTCTCTCCATCAAAGGGCGGGTCTATTGTGCAACTGTTCGTGCTGTACTGTTGTACGGATGCGAGACCTGGCCCATTCGTAAAGATGACTTGCGCAGGCTATCCGTCTTCGAGCCCCGCTGTCTGCGGTCCATTGCCCGTGTGTGGTGGCAGCACCACGTAAGCATTGTGGAAGTTAGACAGCGTGTCTTGGGACGTGGAAGCCACTCGCTCGAGGAGCTCATCTCACTGCATCAACTGCGGTGGTTGGGACACGTATTGCGCATGCCTGTCCAGCGTTACCCCTGTCGTGCGTTGTTTGCACTTGCTGGACAGGGCTGGAAGAGACGGTCTGGTGGACAGCCTACAACATGGAGAAGCCGCATGAAAAAGTTGACGAAACCATTGGCCTCGGCCGGTTGTTGTCGACTACCTGGTTGGGGTTCGAGAGATGAGGATACTTGCTGGTTGAAAACCTTGGAAGTTATGGCTCAAGATCGATGTCAATGGCGGGACGTGTGCATCAGTGTGTTGCGGTGTCCCTTCCTCCTCCCCCCTAAAAAAAAGAACAAACTGAAAAAAAAATTCCAAAAGCTGTGAGTGGTAAACTTGACAAAAAAAAGCATTTCTTGTTGCTCTTTTCTTATTATTCATATTGTTTTCCTATTCAGCCATGATTCCGATGGCACAATATCTGTACCATAGATTGTGTATAATATATATATATATATATATATATATATATATATATACTATATATATATATATATATATATATATATATATATATATATATATATATATATATATATATAT